AAGAGGAGGGAACATTCACACCTATATACAGACTACAAGCAGAATAAAAGGGACTTGCCTGGAACTTACCAAGTGAGCCATGTGTATCTATTTTCTTTTTCTTTCTTTTTTTTTTTTTTTAGTTTGGGATATGACCTTTATTGAGCTTATCCACCAGAGTAGAAATAATGTCTGTACAAAACCAAATGTTTGTTACTATAACTTCTGCATCACAATTAAAATCCAAACAGTTTTTTAAAAACAGTCAACTCAATCAAAACCCACTACTTCAGAATCAATAGCTTCTTTGAAGCCACAGTAACACTTAAATATGGTTAAGACTCGAATGCAGAAATTTGGTTGGCTGGAAGGCTAATTAAGCCTCCAACTTGCTCAAATATAATTACAAAAAGGCAAAATTGTGTTTTTCACAGAGATACAGTCCACTGGAATCACCGACACTGGACAGCTGTTAAGAATATTTAGAGTCCTGAGATAATAAGGAATCCAGGCATCCTATGTAGTCTTCTGTTGTCCTTTCTTCCCAATCAGAGATTTGTGGATGTGTGGGATGACACCACCACCAGCAGTTGTAGCCCTGATCAGAGAGTCCAATTCTTCATCCCCACGAATAGCAAGTTGCAAGTGATGAGGGGTAATACGCTTTACCTTTAAGTCTTTTGATGCATTTCCTGCCAACTCTAGTACCTCTGCAGTGAGGTACTCCAGGATGGCTGCGCTATACACTGCGGCGGTCGCGCCCACACGGCTGTGGCTGGTTGTCCTAGATTTCAGGTGTCGATGAATATGGCCCACAGGGAACTGCAAGCCGGCTCTCTGCGTGTGGGAAACCGCCTTTGCCTTGGCCTTTCGGGAGTCCTTTCCAGCCTTACCGCCAGCCATCTCGGACCGTGCTAAAGATCGCACAAGCGAGGAAGAGACTAGGCCAGGCGGATGCACAGCGAGATCCCGGTGCCTACTCCTCCCTGCGATTCTTTCTAATATTTTTTAATATTTCTTTTTAATATTTACTTATTTTTACTTTATGCATATGAGTGTTTTGCCTGTATGTGTGTAAGTACACAACACACTGTACCTGCTGTCAGTGCTGGTCATAAGATAGCATAAGATCTCATAGAACTGGGGTCACAGATGGTCGTGAGCCATTTGTATGGTTGCTGGGAACCAAACCCAGGTCCTTTACAAGAGCAGTGCTCTTAACTGCCGAGCCATCCCTCCAGCCCCCTGCCCCCATATAGTATATCTTTTCAACCCTTCTAACAAATCTATAATGTGGATAGGATTTTATAGCTAAGGAAACCAAGGTTCAGAAAGATGAAATGATAGCTAAGACCACAAGGCCTGAACTAGGAAGATCAGAATCTCGTATCCAGGTCTGTTTGTTTGCAGGCGGCAGGCAGGTCGTTTTACCTCATCACTGGAGATAAATGAGTACAATTCTTTGGAGAGACCATGATCGGCTAGGCAGCTAATAAAACTTAATTTAATAAGCACTTACCACATTTCTGGCTTAAGCACAAACCCACTAGATCCTGGGAATAGAAGGATAGAGACAAGTCGTGATAAGGCCATCATGGGAGAGGAGCCATGGAAGGGAGGACGGAGGACTTTGGGGAATGGCGGTTGAAAGCTATGTGACCTAAGTCTTCCATGAAGCAGCATGTCCAAACTGCATGAGAACTTGATTCTGGGATTTGGCCTCATGCGTTTGTAGGGGCTGGTTCCACAGTCTAGGCGAGACTATCCCTCCAATGTCAGACAGCGCAGTTTTCGGTCAGCAGAGCGGTGATTAGTACCCAGTTTCTAAAATAGGTTACATGTGGTACAGACAGAGGAAGACACACTGCAGTCAGCTAGGATGGGTGGAACCACAGCATCTCTCAGCATCCCCAAGCAAACCTTTAAATCCATCCTCGCAGATGACCTGCAGGAGTTATTGCTGTCCCTCCTCAACGTGCCATGAGTCTGCGAGTCAATATGAATATGAGTGACACAGACCAGTTGCTGTTCCATGCTGCCCAAATCCCAAGGGAACAGCAATGACGCCTGCCAGCTACTGCTGGTCTTCATGCCAGCACAGAGAGAAAGTGGCTACCTCCATTTCTGCCATCTACACCTCACAGAAAATGCCACTGTGGTCCACACCAGGATCCGTACAGAAAAGAGAATTCTAGGAGCCCTAATGCAGTTGAGTTGTGTTAGCATATCCCATGCCCAGCACAGGTTCCTAAGGAGTGAGCCAAAAAACTTTTCTACAGGTTTTCTCAGCAGATTAGAAAAGGAAGTGAAGCCGGGCGTTGGTGGAGCACGCCTTTAATCCCAGCACTCCGGTGGCAGAGGTCAGACGGATCTCTGTGAGTTCGAGGCCAGCCTGGTCTCCAGATCGAGTGCCAGGATAGGCTCCAAAGCTACACAGAGAAACCCTGTCTCGAAAAACAAAACAAAAAAGAAAGGAAGGAAGGAAGGAAGGAAGGAAGGAAGGAAGGAA